TAGTGCTCAAGACCATGTCAAACAACTTTTTGTGTTTAAAATGTTATTATGTGCGTTGAACTGACAATGTTGAATTTGAACTCTGTGTTGTTACAATTGATAGCGCTATTTTGAAATTTGAACTTCCTAGTTACATTAATTTATTGCTCTCTCATCTCTATTTTGATGTTTGAACTTTCTATGTTGAATTTGATTTGACTATGTTGAATACATTTTGCTATGTTTCATTTGAGCGCTCTACTTTAATTGATACTTGATCTGGAAACGGTGTAGAAAATTCGCTCTTATGAATAATAATAATAATCGCAAGACCAAAACATATCTAATAGAATACTTTCGTAGACCAATCGTAGGAACTTCTATGGATTATTATTTTTTTACTCTCAGATGTTGTTTGTTTTTAGTACTTCCTTGTTTTTAGAGATGTCGGCCGGATGTAAACAATGCAATGGCTACTACTATTGGGGTCAGTTTATCTGCGCTGACTGCTTGAATTCTGGTGCCGTTCAGTTGGAAAACGCGCTCGGCCTCAAGCTGTTCATCTTCTACTGTGGAGTCCAAGTGCTTGTGCTGTGCTTTGAAAAAGAAATGTTTGTACTGCATTGATCATTTGCCCTGGATAGCCCTCAGCGCCTAGATTCTAGATCTAGATTCTATATGTCATCATGTTTCATAGAGTTTAGACTTAGACTTAGATTCCCGCTGCCTTTTGCCACTGACTCTCCACTCTCCACTGATCCACTGCTCAGATTATATATAGACTACTGAATCACTGATAGTCTAGACTAGACTAGATCTAGATTCTAGATCTAGATATCTAGATTTATTGATGGGAGTGGCTAGATCTATCCTCACCCAGGGTGAGAATAAAAATACGATCGACTTCTCACCCTGGCCCTGGGTGAGACTTGCCACCGTTGGCTATTCTCACCCGGTGTGACCTGTTTTTTTCCTAATTTCGGAATGGAAGAGGCTAGGCGTACTTAATGACGGCTAGACTGGCAGCTGGCTAGACTGACCATTTACAAAAAATAGGCCTACTGAATTGTAAATATACATTTTTAGTGTGCAGTACCTAAAGCATATTTGTATTTGAGAGGAAACCAGGTGCCTTAATGACTAATGACAG